TGCTTTGTAATCATTCATTCAACTGAAGATGACAGAAGCTCTGTCGAAACATGTCTTGCAAACTTAAAAAATTGGTCGTTTTCCTTAAAATCTTTAAATAGTAAATTGTGTGATATCTAGGCAAGTTTTCAAAAGCATATTGAAAATTGGATCTACAGTGTAAAAGACACAGGAATGAAGTTGGTTCCACACTCCTATACTGGAACCCGCCGCAATGGCTCATGGAGTAAGGTCTAGGGGTTGCCCAACAACTACTTCTATAGGTTAGTTAGAAGGTGTCACTGGCCTACCGAAAGATAAGTACTATATCTGTAATCATGGAGCAGTGTTTAAGGGCTTGAAAAAATGCTGTCCAGTCATCTGGGACAAGTAATTTTTCATTCTCACTTGCCCAATGGGCAAGGGCCAAGGCAAGTCATCAACCAACTAAATAAAAAAGTAAACTGAGACTTGCTCAAGGCAAGCAAAATTTGAGAGCTGCTTATGCAAAAGGCAAGTTGGAATTCAAGCTTTTTTTTGAGTCCTGAGTGTAGGGTGGGAATGGGAGAAAGTCATTGTGTGCCAGTATAGACACTACTTAAAATCTGTTTTATTATAGCACTTGCTCACCAGATAAGAAAATAGGTTTGTTTTCTTCTTTGGCCTTTTCAAATGCTTCATCTCCCCAAGGAAACCTGGCAAATTAAGCCACATGATATCAATAACATAACTCAGTTCCTCGCCCCAGGTGGGAGATTGGGCCAGAGATCAGTTACCTAAGTTCATCTATCCCTTTTCTTGGCAACAGACATAGCTGCAGCCCATGATGTTAAATGCGTCTCATTACGCTCTCTTTCTTCAGTTTATCTCGATATCAATAAAGTATAAATTAGAAAATAATTTTATCTTTATACTGTCCAGTTTTCAATTTCTGGTTGGGGATTAACACAGCTGGGAGCTAATAAACCAAATGGACTAAATTTGGCTGCAATGCACACCAGTGAACCTAAAGGGATTGACTGTGGAGAACTAACAAGGTCCAGGAACAAGGAAAGAAAAAAACAAAACCAAAATACTGCTTTTCTTATCACCAGAAACTGAAAACCAAATGCTGAAGGAGGTAGAAACAGAAAACTGCAACAGATATCTCACAACTGAAAAATCGATTAAAATATAAATATCGTACCTATAACAAAATTCTTGAGGGAGTAATCACGCTCGTAATTTCAAATTAGCCTGGTGCTTCGCGCTCAACCAATTTTGAAAGAACTTGCGTGATAGCCCCCTGAATTGCACTCCACTCTGTCCTGTTACCATTACTAACCAAACCCCAATGCCCCCCCTCATTTAGTCTGATTACATACACCACAATGTTTTGAGTTTGAATTTTTTTCCATGTTTCCATCTTTGATGACAACTTTGAGAGAAAGAATTCAATTACGTTTTCTTGTAGCTTGTTATTTGTTGGGGCAGAATAATTCTTTTGACAGAGATGAATACAAATAAGGGTGGCATGAGATACACAAATCAACCAATGACAACGCCTGTAATCATTAAACGTGCAAATAAGACTCTATAAAGATTATGACAACAACAAAAAATTTACATCAAAATTCTAAGGCTACAAATTTTGCCTGCACTGTTAGCAATCCAAAATCCGGAAGAAATTAAAAAATTCCTAAAACACCACATGTAGTTATCTATTTAACACTAACCAATCTACTGGGTTGTGCTTGTGTTGCAGAAGGTAGGGGGATTTCGAATGCTGCAGACGGTTCGTATGTTTGGGTTTCACATCTTCTCCGTCTCCACTAGCCGATGCCATTGTCCGAAGGATAGGCCAAGAGTATCTATAGAAATTGCTGGAAAGGCCTGTTGTTGTCGCAGCGTTCGCCCCGTATCTCAAGAACACCGATCTCGAAAAGCAGCGAGCAAAGTTCGTAAAGGGAAACATATGAGGAACGCTCACCTTTCCAAGGGAGTGGGACAGAGGAAGACTGAGCAGAGTCGCTTTTACGGTAAATACGTGGTGTAACGATATTGTAGTGTTGTCCACATTATGGCTCACTGTCAAATTTATGGCGATAATTAGTGAAAACACACGATTAATCATGAATTACTATTAACCGGCTTTCGAACAACCAGCCCCTAAAGTTTGCTAGTATCGACTCAATTAAAACCCCGCCCCAAAACACACAACTCTGGCTTAGCCCCTAGCTCCTCGGGCCTAGCCTACGAGTAGCCATCCCCCGAGGAAAACCGGGTGGGTGGGTGCCGCTACACGTAGGCTACTCTTGTCAAACAAATTCTTTCCCTGAATTTCAGCCGTTTAATTACGACTCGATTGCATATTTCTTCCTATAAGTAATTCTCAAGATACCCCAATTTCATAGTAACTGAGAAAGCTGAGACATTGAATCAACTTGACGATTGCAAAGAGACAGAGAGTCTCGTTTGCAGTTCAAAAGTCCAATTCTTTATTTCAGATAAAACTTTTACGGTATGTTTTGTCGCTTGGCTCTGTATGAAATAAATAAATATAAAATGATTATTTATAAAATAAATATAAAATGAATATAATGTATAGTTCAAGGGCATTTTAAGCTCGCAACAAAAGTCTGAGCAAGAAAGCTATTATAATTTGAATCCAAAATTTGGACCCTGTCCCAAAAATATTTCTATTACGTGTCTCTCCGTTAATTGACCTTAATTATTTTTGAAATAGATTAAAATAAAAAATTATATAAACTTCCGCAAAGGCGAGTAATCCAATAAATGAACATCGAAAAGCATCCAGATCTTTTAGTTTTTGATCAGTTAATAAGAATTTAAACTGTTATTATTGAGAGAGAGAAATGAAATTCGAATATAAAAGATAGCCGTAGGCGAGGAGCGGAAGAAAAAACACAGTGTTAAATTAGAAGTGGCATTCCATTAACACTACCACGTCACGAACAATAGCCACATTAAATAATAATGAATTGTTTTTGAGCAAGCAAGTCTCCAGAAAGGCAAAAAGTAGCAGTGAAACAAAAACAAAAATCGCGAAGTGTTAATTAACATGTGCCATGGCCGAAGCTAAGAGAAAGCTGGCTAATGCGAAGAAAAGGCAGGCCGGAAAAACTGACAACTCGGAAGTTTTAGACAGCAGTGGTACGGAAGCAAAAAGGTTAGCCTCCACAGTATACGTCAGCAAATCATATTAGTCTTTATGTTTCCTGATTGTGCGTTAAAATTACTGCTTTACAAGCGCTGATCTGACGGTCCTGTAGGCTGTTTTCAGCGTTGTAAGTGAAGTACGACCTTAGCTGAAAAGTGAAAAATTTAAAAGGATCCGCGACGATTTTATTAAGATTCTTTCACTCAATTAATTTGTTAGGAAAGCTTTTAACGAAGAACTCTCTTAATATCCAAATTAAGATGCATATAACCGAGAAGGGTTGTTTTCGAACACGATTTGACATGTCAGGCGAAGAAGCTTGGAAGTAAAACTGAAAAAAAAACCAACTTAAAATCCAGAATATACAGAATTTGCAACATTTTAATTTCATAAGTCAAAGAAATTCCATGGTAGTTATGTTATTTTTTAAGGAAATATACTATTTCTTTGAAAGGTACGTAAACGGAATTCATAAATAAGTAATGAGTTAATTTATGATGATATGCATTGGTAAAACTCAACAATAGAAAGTTTTTTTAATACAATCCTCCGCCAGACCGCAACTGACAACTGACATGTAATGTTACACTGAAGGTGTGCAACAATACCTGATGTTTTGTTCTTTTTAGCACGAAATTTGGTTCTCTTCGGACGCTGGCCGGATTGAGTTTATATACTCTCAAACTCTCCAAGAACTTTTAAGTATGTTTAGTCCTTCTAGATCTAAGATTTGTGTCAGTTTACGTAAATTAGGGGAATGTGCTTCATCACACTTCCGTTAGAGTAGTGCTGATAGTATCAAAACATCATTCAAAATTAAAGAGGGTACGAAATAGGTTTTTTCTTCAGTATTTAGAGATCTTTAATAGTACAGACTTCACCAAGTTAGCATACTGAAATATTGTTCATGAAAACAACGTGAAACGGGAGAAGATTTAACATGATCTGTTTTGCGTCGATCAAGTCGAGCAAACAGAGAGTAAAAAAAGCTTTTTATTTCATGCGCCAAGATATCTCAACTCGATATTGCATTGCAAGTTTTGTCTCCGTTCAAACAGCAAGCTATCAATATATTTTCACATCGTTCTTTGATCTAATTCAAATTTCGGTCGAGTTTACTTATCGATCAAAAAGCGTCGCGGTTGCCATGGAGATGCCAAACGCTGGCACCTGCACATTTACATAGCCAAAAGACGCATCGTAATAATTTACTCTTGTCATTTAGCAGTCTTCGTGAAAGGGTCAGTTTTGACAAGAAGTAATTCACTCGTGTCTCATCTTAGACCAAAGTGGGCTACTCTCAAGTGTGTTTTTTGCACTGATGAAGACTAAAACCGCATGAAGCTCCCGTGGCATGGCAAATCCTCCTTGGAACAAAGGACCCGTTCAGTCGACTTCAACGTCGATTTCTTATGCACGGAAAAGGTATTTGTTTATGTGGCTTTTTGTGTAGGTACTAATACCGTTCGCGCGCACTTCTTCTGTTTTATTCTTTCTTTGTTTACCGCGAACGAAGTCTGCATCAGTAAAAGAAACAGTGAACTTATAAACAGTTTCAGTTTTTGCTGGCCTTCAGCGGCCTAAGGCCGGAATGATCTCGAATTAAGATATTATTCAATTTGGCGGGGAAGGATTTTAACTGAATAATATCTTTCATTGAATGTAAGTAAAGGAAACCCATAAAATTAAATTGGTAATGTTGACTTAGGTGAAATGAAAAATATCCCTTCTTGATAAATTGAGATGAGAAAACATTATTTTTATCGAAGTTTAATCCTTAAAATAGATTTCCTAACTTTCTGCTGTATAATTTGCGTGAATTTTGTCAAATCGGATTAAAATTCACCACACACCGATTTCAGATGTTTCATAGTAAACGTTTTTCTAATTCCTCTCCAAAGAAAACTTGGAAAAACATCGTTGAAAAAAATACCGCACGTATCAAATTTTCGATTGTAGCTGATTTCATTATTCCCGAAATAGCTTGATCTTCAACGGAGCAACAGAACCTTGAAGCGAATCAAAGAGGTGATAAAACACGCCAAAAGAATTGGATTTTTTTTAGCAAAAACACTCTACCTATTAAATCTTAGACGTAAACTGTCTCAGACAATGTCAGAAAGTCTTCATTAAAGACACGGATGATGGCTTCTTTGACTGACCGGTAATTCAGTGCAACTTTAATGAGTAAGTTTTTAAATTTTGTAGACACTGCCTTGTATCTCACTAATGGCATGGGTATAATAATATTTCTAAATGGAAGAAGTTTTGATGAAAGCTTGACGAATTGAAGAAATGCAATCTATTTGTTGATAAATGGAGTCATCGGAATATAATTTTCAAAGCCAAAAGCGGAAGAAGATCCCAGCAAAGTTGAAGAGCGTCCTTCTGATCTCAAATATTAGGTTAGCCGTTAGCCTGTTGACCAATTACGGAAGACCTCTGCATAGAATTGAAGCGACAGAACAATGCAACGCTACAGTGATTGACTGAAGACATTGAAAGGACCGTGAAAGCTGACGACCATATGATATTCAGTGTAATAATTGAATGTAGATATACGTTGCTTTACGTTGTAGTTAAAGGCAAGTAGAAATCACGTTCGCTTGAGATGTATAGAGAAAAATTCCATTTCACCAGATAGACTTCTTCACATTTTCTTTGTGAGAAAAAGACCCAGTTTATTCTTTCAGCTGCTTTTAGAGTACCTTAGATGCGAGAATTTAGAACTCTTTTGAAAATCTTTTCGATTATTCTTTTAAACGAAAAACAAATTATTCCGTTGAGTGTCGATGACAGAGAGATATTGTTAGTAACAATGGCTGATCGGCTATTAGGCAGGTAGTTGAATTCAAGCCACAAAATGTTTAGAGAGAAGCAACGATATATCGCAGGCTGCCTCATCCTGACGGAAACAAAACATATTTTCCTTGTAGAGGATTAACGGCGTTTTCAATTGTTGTAATTAGAAAATTATATATTTACTGTCATAAACTGGTTGCAGTGTTGGACTGAGGTAAGTGCAAGCTTTCACAATGAATGCTCCAAAACTGAACGAACTGTTTGTTGACGAAATTGTCTCAAAAATTCCATAAATTACAACTAAAATTCCTGAACGAATATTATCCTGGATAATTTCCAGGTACAACTACCGCAGGGAAGCAGTTACGAATAATAATAAATAATGCATTCTGCCCGAAATAGAACTTATAAGAGTCATCAATGTTCCGTTACACAGCGGTACGGAGTTGGTGAATGGTTGCCGGATGGGAACTTGAATCGATTTCACAGGGGCGCATGATTTTAATACCTTATTTTAAAAGAAGGATATAAACGTGGGCTTTTAGTCATATAAACTGAGAGCGTTCCAACTATTCTTCTGAAACTAGAGGATTCCGCTGTCATACTCAAACAAAGATTTGGAATTGGCCGCTCCTCGTTGTAATATTCCTGATGTTTTTTACCGTGTCTAAATAAAGTTGTCTCCATAGCACAGCGCTGCCTTAAGAGTTCAGTCCGACGCAAGAGTTCCGTTAAGAAGTATTGTACTGTACACAAAACAAAGCTATTATCGAGAATCTATGCAAGACATACAAAATGAAAGTCGAGTCTTCTGCAATACTATTCTTCACATGATAACCAAAAGACTACATAATGCATGCCAATCAACTGGTATATATTTTACCACAAACTATTAATTAATTAATATAAGTCTCTAAACGCATCGCAGAAATGTTCAATTTTTTCTGAATATTCGAAATAACGGACTAGGCTCAAAAGAAGAGAAGGTGATCAAGTCAAACATTTAAGAAGGGCTTTTTGAGGGACTTTAACGTTAGAGCACAAAGAGCAGGAACCTTGACTGAGACGAAAACTTTTTTTGATATACTATTTTATAAATTCAGAGCTGGAAAAGGCTTAGTTTCGCGGTTTCCTCTAAATCCAGCTGTAGTGTACGCAGAATGCCACTTTTCAACTTCTGATTGGATTTTTTGCAATTGATACAAAGCTTACGTCCAGCAAACGCTCGAGAAAGGAAAACAATGATTAAATGAAAATGCCAATAAAGATGTTTGATAGAAAAGAAAACTAGAAAATGACACTGAGTAGGGGAAAATGAGTGTTAATCTACTGAGAGGCCAAAAACAAAATACTGTTAAAGCTAATTGTACGCCGAGGGATGTATTTACAATGTTTCGCCGACAAAGGGCTTGAAGCTTCAGCTCCTACTGTGACAGCGATTCAGTTGATACAATCTACCCTTACACTGAATTCANATTTTTTTCCATGTTTCCATCTTTGATGACAACTTTGAGAGAAAGAATTCAATTACGTTTTCTTGTAGCTTGTTATTTGTTGGGGCAGAATAATTCTTTTGACAGAGATGAATACAAATAAGGGTGGCATGAGATACACAAATCAACCAATGACAACGCCTGTAATCATTAAACGTGCAAATAAGACTCTATAAAGATTATGACAACAACAAAAAATTTACATCAAAATTCTAAGGCTACAAATTTTGCCTGCACTGTTAGCAATCCAAAATCCGGAAGAAATTAAAAAATTCCTAAAACACCACATGTAGTTATCTATTTAACACTAACCAATCTACTGGGTTGTGCTTGTGTTGCAGAAGGTAGGGGGATTTCGAATGCTGCAGACGGTTCGTATGTTTGGGTTTCACATCTTCTCCGTCTCCACTAGCCGATGCCATTGTCCGAAGGATAGGCCAAGAGTATCTATAGAAATTGCTGGAAAGGCCTGTTGTTGTCGCAGCGTTCGCCCCGTATCTCAAGAACACCGATCTCGAAAAGCAGCGAGCAAAGTTCGTAAAGGGAAACATATGAGGAACGCTCACCTTTCCAAGGGAGTGGGACAGAGGAAGACTGAGCAGAGTCGCTTTTACGGTAAATACGTGGTGTAACGATATTGTAGTGTTGTCCACATTATGGCTCACTGTCAAATTTATGGCGATAATTAGTGAAAACACACGATTAATCATGAATTACTATTAACCGGCTTTCGAACAACCAGCCCCTAAAGTTTGCTAGTATCGACTCAATTAAAACCCCGCCCCAAAACACACAACTCTGGCTTAGCCCCTAGCTCCTCGGGCCTAGCCTACGAGTAGCCATCCCCCGAGGAAAACCGGGTGGGTGGGTGCCGCTACACGTAGGCTACTCTTGTCAAACAAATTCTTTCCCTGAATTTCAGCCGTTTAATTACGACTCGATTGCATATTTCTTCCTATAAGTAATTCTCAAGATACCCCAATTTCATAGTAACTGAGAAAGCTGAGACATTGAATCAACTTGACGATTGCAAAGAGACAGAGAGTCTCGTTTGCAGTTCAAAAGTCCAATTCTTTATTTCAGATAAAACTTTTACGGTATGTTTTGTCGCTTGGCTCTGTATGAAATAAATAAATATAAAATGATTATTTATAAAATAAATATAAAATGAATATAATGTATAGTTCAAGGGCATTTTAAGCTCGCAACAAAAGTCTGAGCAAGAAAGCTATTATAATTTGAATCCAAAATTTGGACCCTGTCCCAAAAATATTTCTATTACGTGTCTCTCCGTTAATTGACCTTAATTATTTTTGAAATAGATTAAAATAAAAAATTATATAAACTTCCGCAAAGGCGAGTAATCCAATAAATGAACATCGAAAAGCATCCAGATCTTTTAGTTTTTGATCAGTTAATAAGAATTTAAACTGTTATTATTGAGAGAGAGAAATGAAATTCGAATATAAAAGATAGCCGTAGGCGAGGAGCGGAAGAAAAAACACAGTGTTAAATTAGAAGTGGCATTCCATTAACACTACCACGTCACGAACAATAGCCACATTAAATAATAATGAATTGTTTTTGAGCAAGCAAGTCTCCAGAAAGGCAAAAAGTAGCAGTGAAACAAAAACAAAAATCGCGAAGTGTTAATTAACATGTGCCATGGCCGAAGCTAAGAGAAAGCTGGCTAATGCGAAGAAAAGGCAGGCCGGAAAAACTGACAACTCGGAAGTTTTAGACAGCAGTGGTACGGAAGCAAAAAGGTTAGCCTCCACAGTATACGTCAGCAAATCATATTAGTCTTTATGTTTCCTGATTGTGCGTTAAAATTACTGCTTTACAAGCGCTGATCTGACGGTCCTGTAGGCTGTTTTCAGCGTTGTAAGTGAAGTACGACCTTAGCTGAAAAGTGAAAAATTTAAAAGGATCCGCGACGATTTTATTAAGATTCTTTCACTCAATTAATTTGTTAGGAAAGCTTTTAACGAAGAACTCTCTTAATATCCAAATTAAGATGCATATAACCGAGAAGGGTTGTTTTCGAACACGATTTGACATGTCAGGCGAAGAAGCTTGGAAGTAAAACTGAAAAAAAAACCAACTTAAAATCCAGAATATACAGAATTTGCAACATTTTAATTTCATAAGTCAAAGAAATTCCATGGTAGTTATGTTATTTTTTAAGGAAATATACTATTTCTTTGAAAGGTACGTAAACGGAATTCATAAATAAGTAATGAGTTAATTTATGATGATATGCATTGGTAAAACTCAACAATAGAAAGTTTTTTTAATACAATCCTCCGCCAGACCGCAACTGACAACTGACATGTAATGTTACACTGAAGGTGTGCAACAATACCTGATGTTTTGTTCTTTTTAGCACGAAATTTGGTTCTCTTCGGACGCTGGCCGGATTGAGTTTATATACTCTCAAACTCTCCAAGAACTTTTAAGTATGTTTAGTCCTTCTAGATCTAAGATTTGTGTCAGTTTACGTAAATTAGGGGAATGTGCTTCATCACACTTCCGTTAGAGTAGTGCTGATAGTATCAAAACATCATTTAAAATTAAAGAGGGTACGAAATATGTTTTTTCTTCAGTATTTAGAGATCTTTAATAGTACAGACTTCACCAAGTTAGCATACTGAAATATTGTTCATGAAAACAACGTGAAACGGGAGAAGATTTAACATGATCTGTTTTGCGTCGATCAAGTCGAGCAAACAGAGAGTAAAAAAAGCTTTTTATTTCATGCGCCAAGATATCTCAACTCGATATTGCATTGCAAGTTTTGTCTCCGTTCAAACAGCAAGCTATCAATATATTTTCACATCGTTCTTTGATCTAATTCAAATTTCGGTCGAGTTTACTTATCGATCAAAAAGCGTCGCGGTTGCCATGGAGATGCCAAACGCTGGCACCTGCACATTTACATAGCCAAAAGACGCATCGTAATAATTTACTCTTGTCATTTAGCAGTCTTCGTGAAAGGGTCAGTTTTGACAAGAAGTAATTCACTCGTGTCTCATCTTAGACCAAAGTGGGCTACTCTCAAGTGTGTTTTTTGCACTGATGAAGACTAAAACCGCATGAAGCTCCCGTGGCATGGCAAATCCTCCTTGGAACAAAGGACCCGTTCAGTCGACTTCAACGTCGATTTCTTATGCACGGAAAAGGTATTTGTTTATGTGGCTTTTTGTGTAGGTACTAATACCGTTCGCGCGCACTTCTTCTGTTTTATTCTTTCTTTGTTTACCGCGAACGAAGTCTGCATCAGTAAAAGAAACAGTGAACTTATAAACAGTTTCAGTTTTTGCTGGCCTTCAGCGGCCTAAGGCCGGAATGATCTCGAATTAAGATATTATTCAATTTGGCGGGGAAGGATTTTAACTGAATAATATCTTTCATTGAATGTAAGTAAAGGAAACCCATAAAATTAAATTGGTAATGTTGACTTAGGTGAAATGAAAAATATCCCTTCTTGATAAATTGAGATGAGAAAACATTATTTTTATCGAAGTTTAATCCTTAAAATAGATTTCCTAACTTTCTGCTGTATAATTTGCGTGAATTTTGTCAAATCGGATTAAAATTCACCACACACCGATTTCAGATGTTTCATAGTAAACGTTTTTCTAATTCCTCTCCAAAGAAAACTTGGAAAAACATCGTTGAAAAAAATACCGCACGTATCAAATTTTCGATTGTAGCTGATTTCATTATTCCCGAAATAGCTTGATCTTCAACGGAGCAACAGAACCTTGAAGCGAATCAAAGAGGTGATAAAACACGCCAAAAGAATTGGATTTTTTTTAGCAAAAACACTCTACCTATTAAATCTTAGACGTAAACTGTCTCAGACAATGTCAGAAAGTCTTCATTAAAGACACGGATGATGGCTTCTTTGACTGACCGGTAATTCAGTGCAACTTTAATGAGTAAGTTTTTAAATTTTGTAGACACTGCCTTGTATCTCACTAATGGCATGGGTATAATAATATTTCTAAATGGAAGAAGTTTTGATGAAAGCTTGACGAATTGAAGAAATGCAATCTATTTGTTGATAAATGGAGTCATCGGAATATAATTTTCAAAGCCAAAAGCGGAAGAAGATCCCAGCAAAGTTGAAGAGCGTCCTTCTGATCTCAAATATTAGGTTAGCCGTTAGCCTGTTGACCAATTACGGAAGACCTCTGCATAGAATTGAAGCGACAGAACAATGCAACGCTACAGTGATTGACTGAAGACATTGAAAGGACCGTGAAAGCTGACGACCATATGATATTCAGTGTAATAATTGAATGTAGATATACGTTGCTTTACGTTGTAGTTAAAGGCAAGTAGAAATCACGTTCGCTTGAGATGTATAGAGAAAAATTCCATTTCACCAGATAGACTTCTTCACATTTTCTTTGTGAGAAAAAGACCCAGTTTATTCTTTCAGCTGCTTTTAGAGTACCTTAGATGCGAGAATTTAGAACTCTTTTGAAAATCTTTTCGATTATTCTTTTAAACGAAAAACAAATTATTCCGTTGAGTGTCGATGACAGAGAGATATTGTTAGTAACAATGGCTGATCGGCTATTAGGCAGGTAGTTGAATTCAAGCCACAAAATGTTTAGAGAGAAGCAACGATATATCGCAGGCTGCCTCATCCTGACGGAAACAAAACATATTTTCCTTGTAGAGGATTAACGGCGTTTTCAATTGTTGTAATTAGAAAATTATATATTTACTGTCATAAACTGGTTGCAGTGTTGGACTGAGGTAAGTGCAAGCTTTCACAATGAATGCTCCAAAACTGAACGAACTGTTTGTTGACGAAATTGTCTCAAAAATTCCATAAATTACAACTAAAATTCCTGAACGAATATTATCCTGGATAATTTCCAGGTACAACTACCGCAGGGAAGCAGTTACGAATAATAATAAATAATGCATTCTGCCCGAAATAGAACTTATAAGAGTCATCAATGTTCCGTTACACAGCGGTACGGAGTTGGTGAATGGTTGCCGGATGGGAACTTGAATCGATTTCACAGGGGCGCATGATTTTAATACCTTATTTTAAAAGAAGGATATAAACGTGGGCTTTTAGTCATATAAACTGAGAGCGTTCCAACTATTCTTCTGAAACTAGAGGATTCCGCTGTCATACTCAAACAAAGATTTGGAATTGGCCGCTCCTCGTTGTAATATTCCTGATGTTTTTTACCGTGTCTAAATAAAGTTGTCTCCATAGCACAGCGCTGCCTTAAGAGTTCAGTCCGACGCAAGAGTTCCGTTAAGAAGTATTGTACTGTACACAAAACAAAGCTATTATCGAGAATCTATGCAAGACATACAAAATGAAAGTCGAGTCTTCTGCAATACTATTCTTCACATGATAACCAAAAGACTACATAATGCATGCCAATCAACTGGTATATATTTTACCACAAACTATTAATTAATTAATATAAGTCTCTAAACGCATCGCAGAAATGTTCAATTTTTTCTGAATATTCGAAATAACGGACTAGGCTCAAAAGAAGAGAAGGTGATCAAGTCAAACATTTAAGAAGGGCTTTTTGAGGGACTTTAACGTTAGAGCACAAAGAGCAGGAACCTTGACTGAGACGAAAACTTTTTTTGATATACTATTTTATAAATTCAGAGCTGGAAAAGGCTTAGTTTCGCGGTTTCCTCTAAATCCAGCTGTAGTGTACGCAGAATGCCACTTTTCAACTTCTGATTGGATTTTTTGCAATTGATACAAAGCTTACGTCCAGCAAACGCTCGAGAAAGGAAAACAATGATTAAATGAAAATGCCAATAAAGATGTTTGATAGAAAAGAAAACTAGAAAATGACACTGAGTAGGGGAAAATGAGTGTTAATCTACTGAGAGGCCAAAAACAAAATACTGTTAAAGCTAATTGTACGCCGAGGGATGTATTTACAATGTTTCGCCGACAAAGGGCTTGAAGCTTCAGCTCCTACTGTGACAGCGATTCAGTTGATACAATCTACCCTTACACTGAATTCATAGGCTGAATATTTACCAGTAGAAGTGTTTTCAACCGACGTACCTTTTTTTAAATTTCTGGCTGGTTATGTTTCGTTTAAACTTCATAAGAGTTCACTGAAGATCTTATTTCAAAAATCGAAGGAAGATTTCACACATTTAGGGCTTCACAAACGAGGAGCCACCGTATGGCTATGTCGTGGATAGCACTTTATTATTATTCATCAGTAATAACAAAAAAAATAGCAGACTTATACTCAGTTATACAGCGCCTCAATCTTAGATTACAAAGATCAACCTAGATTAAATAAACTAATTACACGAGGAAAACAAAAAACACTAACAAGAAGGTAAAAAGAATATGTAAAATGGAATCAAAAACTAACTACTGACTAATATAAACCGCCATCAAAGATGTTTTTGAAAAGATAAGTTCTTTTAAGTTTGACTTAAAAAGAAGTAACCGTATTTGAGGAAGGCTTTTCCACAGTTTCGGGGCACAGACAGAAAAAGCTCGATCCACG